CTATTTCAAAATGCTTCCGAAAATGGGGTCTTAAAGGTAAGCGCCCTCATGCATGACTAAAACTTTGTAAGAGGTCTTCTATTTGAATGGACCCTTGAGGATTGATGTGAAACAGAATGAAGTCCTGTCTCTGTGAGAGAACGTGCCTCCTCGCTCATTTGTCTCTGTTTTCTTAGCCATCAATATAGTAACGTATTTACTATGTTCTTGGCAAAGTGGAATACCCTTAAAGAAATCCGTTTTCTATTGTGCATTGCTATACAAAGTGAAGCCAGTAAACTAGATACTGTAAATCTAGATATTGTACCTAGAAAAATTATCATGGGTTCTCTTTTTGTATCTATTGTACCAGGGAAGGTTTATAACCCCTTCTCAGTATACACTTACTAGTGCACGTCTGAAATAGCATCCCACGGGAGATACAGCTCCACAGCTGAGGTCCCCTGCCCTGTGTGGGGCACACCATCCGTTAGCACCACCGTTTTTACAGTGACTATGTGGAGCTGCTAGACTGGTTTTCTGTGTTGGTAAATTGCTTATATAAATCTCAATAAAAAGGATCTGTACCAAGATATCTACTTCAGTGTGCTGTTTTTCCCCTCAATTAAAAGCTGCATTTCTTTACCAAGCTGTTAAGATACCAGAGAGTGACTGATTGGAAAGAATCCCGATTCTGGGGGAGATTCATGCAAAGGCTGATTTTATACAGAGGAGGAAGGGGACTGCCGAACGCACTTCTGCTGATTTGGTGGATTGTTGGAGCATCACTGGTTTTGGGGTTTGGGGGACCAGCGCTTGTGCCCCCTGAATAACACGTTGCAAATGAAGAGCCTGGAGATCCCAGGCGGTGAGGAAACACAGCTGGTCTCTGTCATCCCCACTTTATCTAGAAGCTGTCCAGGGCTCCTCAGCCCACCACTGGGGGGGGGGGGCTTTGGATTCCCTCCCAGAAGACAAGACCCCTTGCTCCCTATCCCTGCTCCCATGGAAATGTGCTGGGATCCCCCCGTGGTGCCTGTCACTATAAACCAGAAATCCAAGGTGGCAGTCCCCAAGCCATAGCTGTCTAGGCATGACTGTCTGCCTGTAGGTCCGTGGATCAAGGGCAGGCTGGGTATCTCCTGTCTTTAAGCTGGAGGAGAAATATACCCTCTCTCTTGCTAGTTCAGGAAAGAAGGAAGCCACTGAGCAACACTGGAGTATATTTGTGCTTGCCACTTTGAAAACCATTTTGCAAAACAGTCGACGGGGGACCCAGCTACGGAATGTGTAGCTCGGTCCATGGGGAGGAGGTGACAGCCATGGTGGTGCCCTTGGTCTAATGTGTTATGTAACCGAGGGCAGCTGGATATTGGAGTTCAAAAAGCCAAGCACTCCAACCTCTCTCAAGAGCTGCAGAAATCAAGTTACTCCCTTGGGAGCCAGAAGGTGGGGAAATAGCATCGGGATCTCAACTCCCAGCATCATCCCTTTGAACGAGCTGTTTGGCCCTCAGTTTTCTCACCCCTGTGTTACGAGGGTTGACTTAGAGGATCCTGAAAGGTCATCCATGCCAAAAACATCCTCCATCTCTGACTAGAGGTAAGTGACATGTTGAGGCTGCAATAAGGAAATGCTGTCCCAAGTCCTAGGCTCTTCCTGCGTTGCATTATGGGTAATCATGTTAATGTCCCCCTTTAAACTCTTGAGTTCCTGGATGCCAGAGCCCCACAACTATGTATTGAATTTGAGAAGAACCATCTAACAACTGCAAGGCTTTCTGTCCCTGGGTGCTTACCAGTTTGGATATTGAAGTTCTAAAAAAAAAAAAAGGTTTTCAGGCCAGGCACGGTGTCTTATGCCTGTAATCCCAGCACCTTGCGTTTGAGGCAGGAGGATCACTTGAGCCCCAGGTTTGAGACCAGCCTGAGCAGCATAGCAAGACCCTATCTCTACAAAATAAAAATAAAAAACTAGCCAAGTGTGGTGGCACATGCCTACGGTCCCAGCTACTCTGGAGGCTGAAACAGGAGGATTGCTTGAGCCCTGGAGGTGGAGGCTGCAGTGAGCTGTGATTGCGCCACTGCACTTCAGCCTGGGCAACGGAGACGCTCTTTAAAAAAAAAAAAAGTTGCTCAGCCAAATTATTCAGGCTATTTCCAGAGATCAGATTCACCAAATAAAACCTTTTACTTCGTGCTCACATATACAGATTTGGACATGCACATAATTAATGAAATCCATGAGGGGAAATTTGATGACTCTTTTTTTGTTGTTGTTTTTAATGTTTAATTTTTGTGGGTGTATAGTAGGTGTATATATTCGGGGTACACGGGGCAGTTTGATACAGGCAGACAATATGTAATATCCCGCCAGGGAAAGTGGGATATCCATCACCTCAAACATTTATCCTTTCTTTGTGTTACAAACATTCCCCTTATTTTCTTGTAGTTATTTTAACATAAATAATAAATGATTGTTGTCTACAGTCACCTTATGGTGCCATCAAATACTGCATCTTATTTATTAAACTAGGTTTTTGCACCCATTGACCATTCCCTTACTACCCTTCCTAGGTAACCGTCATTTAACTGTATCTCCATGAGATCGATTGTTTAATTTTTAACTCCCACAAATGCATGGGAACAAGCAATGCTCATCTGTCTGTGCTTGGCTTATTTCACTGAACATAATGTCTTACATTTCCTTCCATTTTGTACATGTTGTTGCCAATGACAAATGACAAGGTCTGCTTTTTCTTTCTTTTTTTTTTTTTTTTGAGACGGAGTCTGGCTGTGTCACCCAGGTTGGAGTGCGGTGGCGTGATCACAGCTCACTGCAACCTCCACCTCCCAGGTTCAAGCGATTCTTCTGCGTCAGCCTCCCAAGTAGCTGGGATTACATGCCCTTGCCACCACACTGAGCTAAATTTTGTATTTTTAGTAGAGACAGGGTTTCACTGTGTTGACCAGGCTGGTCTTGAACTGCTGACCTCGTGATCCACCCACCTTGGCCTCCCAAAGTGCCGGGATTACAAGTATGAGTCACCGCGCCCTGCCGATCTTATTCTTTTTATGGTTGAATAGTACTCCATTTGTATATGTACCACATTTTTTTAAATCCCTTTGGTGGGTGCTTAGATTGATTCCAAAACTTGGCTATTGTGAATAGTGCTGCAATAAAATGGAATGTCTTCAATATACTGATTTCCTTTCTTTGGGGTATAGACCCCTAACAGTGGAATTGCTGCATCATATACCTGTTCTAGTTTTAGTTTTTTGAGGAACTTTTTTTTTTTTGAGACAGAGTCTCACTCTGTCACCCAGGCTGGAGTGCAGTGGTGTGATCTCGGCTCACTGTAACCTCCACTTCCTGGTGTTCAAGCGATTCTCCTGCCTCAGTCTCCCGAGTAGCTGGGACTACAGGTGCATGCTGCCATGCCTGGCTAACTTTTGAATTTTTTAGTAGAGACAGGTTTCACCATATTAGCCAGACTGGTCTTGAACTCCTGACCTTGTGATCTGCCTGCCTTGAACTCCCAAAGTGCTGGGATTATAGGCGTGAGCCACCGTACCCCGCCATGATTGGATTTTTTGATGCTGCTGCTTTTGGATAGTCTGTCTGCTTTACGGAGAAGCAGATTTAAGATGTCCTTTCCACCTGGTAGAGGTGCAGTTAATGTTACCTCTTTGTCAGCTGGTCTAACTCTTAAAATTTCCTTTAGTGTTTCTAGAGGTTCCACCTTTCAGATTCCTATTGCCTTGAGCTTATTCTTGGCCAGGCCCGGAAGATGAAGTCACAGACGCAAGTACCTAGTATTCGATTCTAACTGCCTTTTCAGAGTTGCTCTGAGCGTTGCATTGCAGGCAATTCCAAGCTTCATCATCATATTTCAGAACTGGAGGTTTAAGCTCTTAAGATTGTGGAGGGCCGGGCGCGGTGGCTCAAGCCTGTAATCCCAGCACTTTGGGAGGCTGAGGCGGGTGGATCACAAGGTCAAGAGATCGAGACCATCCTGGTCAACATGGTG